GACCGGCGGCCGCGCAACTCCCGGCCCGCCCGCCCGTCTGCCGCCGCGCCGCGGGGCACGCTGGGAAATGTAGTTCCTCCGTCCTCCTGCGGGCTCCCTCTCCCTCCTCCCGTAGAGGAACGTTTGTACCACTAAAGAGTGACAGACGAGGCCGGTTCAACTAGAAAAGTTTTTTTTATTAATACAATGATGTTAATACGTACAAAATTAAAAAAAAACCACACCATTGTGCATTACATTGTGCTTATAGTCAAGTAGTAAATTATATTTGCATCGTTTAACAGCAACTTACTTTTTTAGAGGCACTCCCAATATTCTTAGAGAATAATGCACTTAAGAGATTTTTACTTTTTTGTTTCGTTGACTCCGCAGCTCAAAGACGCCATGCCGCCACCCATCGTACCAATGCCCCTGCCGTTCATTACACAAATGTCCTAATTATCTGGTGTCCTTATTATTAGCAGCATCTGCAATTGTCCCTTGCATAGAGTTTCCTACCTTCTATATAATATGTAAACATTAAAAAATAATTAACAGTTCATGAAAAAATAACTGCACTCAGTGCTCCAACTGTTGTGTTATGCAAACACATTACCATTTCATGATAGATTTCGGATATTTCTGAAGACATTTAGGACTTTATATTCACAGGGCTGGTGTAGTCGAAATGACTATTTGAAAACAAACAGCTAAATTTTGTCCATGTGCATATACATATGCAATGAAATGAAGTCTCTGCTACATGAAACAGCAATGATTAGAGATCAGTTTCGTAGGAAAAGTGTGAATTTTCCTGTTCACTGAAACACAGTTCATTCCTTTATGCAGTTTACGTTCAAGGATTAAAATTGAAGAGGCGTAAAATTAAGACAATAGCTTCAGTTCTCCAGTTCATAAGTGATTTGCCACTTGAGTTACACACTTGAAGAATTGCCAGATGCCTGACTACTTGGTTTATTTTCTTATAAAGAAGAATTAGCACTTCACTGAACTCCTCTATTTAAGGAGCTTTTATATCACAAAATAGTTCAATCTGAGAAAAAGAAAGATATATGAAATATAGGAATATGTGAAAATGTATCTGAAAAATATTTCTTTAAATTTAGACTCCATATCAAAGATATCCTGAAAGAAAAGAATGAAAAATGCACTTGAGGAAATGAGGGAATTGGAAGGAAAAAAAATCAAATAGTTCTTTCAGTTTTTAAAGAATTTTGTATCTGGCATTGACGTTACCCCAGAAGAAACTACAACCAACAAGTACTCTATGGGCCTTTCATAGATGTTCCTCTCGCTAATGAAGGCTTTTGCAATAATGCAGTGTTAATGACAATCTAAAATAAGATATTTCTGATTTAATAGGATAGTCTCATTTCTCTCCCTTAAGCATGTATTAACATAACATCTCAACATCCTAAAGATTCTGAAGGAACTGAAGTTAGCATTTTTAGCTACCTGAGAAACAAAGTATTTTTAATGGATTCATTTACATGAAGATTCATATGGAATGCTTATAGTTGTAATGCTTATGTAAAGACCCCCTGGCTTATTACAAAACAGAGTTAAAAGCTGGGTAAATGAACTCTCGCAGCTGGTGTACTAAAAGAGCTTTTAACAAAAAGCTGGTGAAAAGCAAAATAAAGTTTTAGATGATTAAATGCTGGGGATTGCAGGATGATACTGCTATGTAAGATGAGCGACAGCTTTTACACATGCAGTGTTCATATCTGAATCATGTTCCTTAAAAAAAATAAGTAAATCTGTTTTCAAGGAGACAGAGTTTGTTTGTTTTTTTCAGTACTCCTACAGAAATAAAGAAGAGGGCTCAATGGAAATTACAAATTCTATCTTCTATTGGGCACTAGAAGAAACGGACTGGCGAGCTGCCAATTACTTTTCTGAAAATAAAAGGAAGATACCCAGCATCTCCTATTCTGAGGTCCAAAGTGACCTACAAGATCCCTTAAACCATACCACACAACTTCTAAAGTTCAGATCCACAAAGGATAACCTACTTCACCCTCCAAAACAAGTAGATACTGCAAACAGCTAAGAGTTCGTGACCTCTGTACTGCTCTACAGTAGGAATTAAAGGTGATCACAATCTGTTTATAGCTTCTCCATAGACACTATTTCTTTAAAGAAAGAAAATCAGAATTGTCAAGGTTGTTTTGACTCTCTTACCAGTTCCTCCTCCTGATTCATACTGCCCTTTGAAGAATAGGTACATGGTGTTTTCCTTATCTTCCGCTACAAAATTGGACAATTACTGTAATAATTAGCACAAAAAGGGAAGCTGCACAAGCAGCACAAAGATTAACACAAATGTCTCGCTATTGCTGACTAATTTTCAATTTGACGCAAACTAACGAAACAGCCATTTTCCCTGAGAATCAATCCAAAAAGCAGCTTCTTTTCACTCTCTGTAAATTAGCCCTGTAGTCATACTTCTGCAACAAACTAGTCTACCCCGTTCACGTTCTGTTCTTTTTTGTATCCTATCATCTTGACAAGCCAAGATACAAGAGCTAAGCCTAAGGTTCTGGACTGCAGTATTATGGATAACTTGTCTCCAAAGATTTAATAGGAGCAGCATCAGCCTCCGATACCCGATGCACTATCCAGCCTTTCGGCATAGAAGTTAATCAAGTACAAAAAGCATTGCAAACGTGTGGAATTCATTAATCTCTTCAGACGTACATAATGATAGACTCCAGTTAGTATAAAAGTGCAGTCAGTATAACACTCAGTGCCCTGCAAAGACATATGGGTTTCATTCACAATAATTTCAAGTTTACATAAAGGATTTCATACTAAACTCATTTCCACTTCCAGTGTTCAAGACTCGATGTAATACTGTAGTAAGGTTATTCCTGGGCAACCAGAGAAATGCTCTGAAGATAATCCGCAGATGCCATTATAAAGTCAGTCCATTCCTTGGCCAGTTCTTCAATGGAGACTTCCTCCCCCCCATATTCCTGTGGGAGAATGCCGACTGGGAAGTGTTCGGTCAGAGTCTGCATGTAGTTATTTCCATGCATGTACACCTAAAACAGAGTATGAAAAGCATTTACTTGGGGACAAAAGCTAGCATACTGAGGCAGCAAAGAAACTCCATGCAAGAGCTGAAGGCAAGAGCTTGGTTTGACTAAGCAAGCGTACTTGTTCATAATGAGCTCCTTAAACGAAGAAGAAAGCACCACCGTGTGAGTTGCCCATGGGTGCTCAAACTCTGTCCTGCTCAGTACCTGCAGCTTGATGACGCACGGACTACAGCCAGGGAACTGCATTTTATGCTGCTGCAAGCACAGGAGCCGACACTGACTACACGCTTGTTCCTGACTGGTTTAGTGGCACTGCTGAGGGTACCCACTACATTCCTAGAGCTGAAGTGAGCTAAACCATGGGGAAGACTGGGGTTTGGTCTTGTCATGACAGATTCCACGTATTTGATTTTGAGTGATTTCCAAGAAGAGAGCAGTGTTTGGCTCCTGGCCATTGCTATCTGGTCCTGCCACATGTTTTTAAAAACGTTATGTAGTATATACGTAGGTTCAGAGAGGTGCCAAGGAGGATATTCAGAAGAATCTGCATCTCAGTCCTTATGTCTCAGTTCCAACTGAAATTAGATCCTAGACTACTCCTCCACTTTAACCCTTGTAATACTGTAGTTTGGGTTCTTTCTCTTCTTGCTTTACTGTAGCTATTTTGAAGCCTTATTCATTATTTCCAATCAGAAACTTTTATAGGCCTCTTATTAACACTTGACAAGAATTTTCTGCAATTATTATCACACAAAGACTACAATAACATGCACTCAAATGGTAGTTGGCTGCCTTTTATCTAACACTTCCTCACCAGGAAGTGAGATACCGAATGAATAGTAATTATTCCTATGAAGGTATGGGGAACTGGCCCTTACAGGTTTGTTTTTTTTTCCAGATCATACCTGAAACTCTATGCCAGGAGACAAGCCAATCTGCTTCTGTTCCATTCCATGAACTGGGATATCTGGTTTGTTTTCTTTTAGGCCTTTACTGTCCATCTGCTCTCTTTTCTGCTTTTTGAGTTCTAGTCTGAGGCCTTCTGAGCTGGGGTGACAGGGGCTTGTTTCACAGGTGTTTATGTGAGAGAAGAAAGGCCACAGCATCAAGCTGCTGGAACATACATTTTTTACCATCTTTTCAGAGGGACTAATTGCACAAGGCTGGCAGAAACAATCCTGCCTTTCTCCCATAACAAAACACACATGCGAGAAAAAGGGGACTGGTAAATAACAGCTAACAGACTGTTATTAATAACAGACCAGGTAAATAACAGACCAGGAAAATCTGCATCTACTGTCCCGGAATGCAGTGGCTACTGCAAATGCACAAGATCCACGTGCCGAGACAAGGTGGCTTCAGAGTGGGAATAACAATAGGCAGCGCTGCTTATTTTGTACCTTAGCCCTGCTGTTAACACTTCACAGTATTTCCTTTTCTGCCAGCTGAAACCTCCAATATTCTTCCTATGCTACAAAACCCAGAATTCTTCCAGAATTACTGGCATGCTTTTGCATCCAAATACAAACAGGGTTTTCAGATTTAAAACTGCAAAACAATTAAAAACAACTAAGAAGCTACTTGGAAAGAAATTTTGAACTTAAGCCTGACCTATTTTTGATGCATAAATGCCTCTGCAGGTCTTTCAGAACTAAAAAGTTGTCTTCTACTAATTCTGCACAACTTGGAGCATAAGATCGCTGTTCAGTGACGACTTCTCACTGTCATTAATAGGCGGAGTGTTGGGAGATTCAGGACCTATTTCTTCCTAGTCCTGCAGAAGAAATTGCTGTGTGACCTCAAGCAAATCATTTAACCTCCCTGTGTCACAGTGGTTTTTATCTTTGGAATGGTGATAACAGCAACCATTTGCAACTCTCACATTATTGCTAACTGCAAATGCTTTACAATTACATTCTAGAGGCCTGCATGGCACTAACCCACAAAAATGATTTATGCTCTTCAGTGCTCAGGAATACCAGGTCCTAAGGGAAGTGCTGCAGATTGTCATGTAGGGGTTTTGCAGCAGAAAGAAATATTTGTGCGCACTCACCCGTTCTTTTATTTTTTCAGTGAGAAACGGCTTAATTAGAGCGAAGACTGGGTGGAAGAATAAAGGCTCATTAATCAAGTGGATACCTCGAACTTTTAGTGGAAAGGAATCCTGTCAACATACATGAAAAACAGCATAAGAAAAATAAAATACTATTGAAAAGATTTTATTGTTAAGGACAAATCTGTGAAAACTATCTAGTCCACAGGTTAAAGTATTCCTTCTGACCTTGCTCATAGCTGCACTTTGAAGTGTTCTTAGTTTACCCTGCCCCAACAATGCTCAGAAAAATCGGGTCTTGTTCAGCTCATTAGAAGGAAAAAAACAAACAAACAAACAAAAACCAAACAAAAAGACAGTATGAGGAGAGGCTATTAAGAAAAAACAAACAAACAAACAACAAGGAAACAAGCAAACCTTCCCCAAATTACATGTAATTAATGTACACAAAGCTTGTGCTTAGCCTTTCCTCAGAGGTACGATTTTTTACAGCAGAGATTCTGCTGCTAATTTACCAAAAATCTCTCTAGCCATGTGCTTTCATCGGCAATTCACAGCCTAAAGGATAATATGTAAATATATAGAGATATAAACCATTGAAGCTACTAACTTTAAGGTAAATAAATTATAAAAATAATTTAGAGACCTTAAAAACATAATTCAGAGCCTTGAAATTACTGGGAATTTGCCCAAGCTAGAAATCCAGCTTTGCAACAAGATTACTGTCATAATGAAAATAAAAATTGCATCTGTTATACAGCCTTTATAACATGAAATACTTCTACTTGCATTCAAGATTCGTTTAGAAGTCCCAGACTTTTGCAAGTTCAAAGAAAGTATGGCAGTGCTCAAAGACAGCATTAGGCAATGGGGAAAGTATTGCTTCCATCCATATTCCAATCACTACTACCTCTGCAACCAGAGGTTTTCTGCTTGTAAAAATGGTACTTCTCACAAACAGTTCTCCCCACTAGTACAGTACCTCTTCTCACGCTATTTCATGCACTTTTCTACGGATAAAAACCCCCCAAACCTACATATTTCTTAAGTACAACTCCTTTTAGATTTTAATGTTTATAAAGATCAGATTATAAGTTTACTGCATGTTATTACGTGTTATCATACACTTAAAGTCTACTACCATGTTTTTCACAAAACAATTTGATTTTGCCCCGGGTAAAAGATTTTTCAAGATTATATCACTTAAGAACACTACTATGCTTTCCATTCCTTAGTACATATTTCCTTTCTATTAACTTCTGCTTCTTCATACAGGATAGTAATTTGCAAGACACATTTCTTAAGAAAAACATACAGTTGAACCTAAGGTTCCTTAGTTTTTACTTATATGCATATTGAACAACACTAAGACAATCTCTGAGTGAAATATATGAATTCAGTTAAGGTGATGAAAGGAATCTGAAAAAAAAATGAGTTAAACATTTCTCTTCTTAGCAAAGAACACTGGACACATTTTTTTCTGCCTTTTTTCAATAGCTATAATAAACATGAAGCTTGAATAACATGCAAGAAAATCCGAAATAGGTCAAGATGGAAACATCACATGCAAAGAATTTCCTGGTTCAAGACAATGGATTGAAACCTTTAGATGTAATTGCAAATCCTATTCTACCTCCTTTCTGCTGTATTTCAAGGGTAAAAAGTTACTAGTAACTTGTTTAGTACCTCAGAAATCAACTGAAACACTCTCACATGTCCTGTTCTCATGAGATCTGGCCCAGGATCATATGAACATCAAGAGTTCTTATTCTAGATGTGGAAAGTTGGGAGTACCTGCTGGTTTCACTGAAGTTTTACAGTACATGCCAAAAAGGAAGAACAGCTGAAGTTCTGATGATAGTAGTTCAATGACTAAGCTCTGACTGAACCTCACATATGAACCTTACCAAATCAGAGCAATTATCTCCCTGGCTCACTTCCACATCTTAGGCTAACAGTTTTATGGGAAAGTGGGATTAGGCTAACAGTTTTATGGGAAAGTGGGATTACAGGACTATACTGTAGCTTGCCTGTCAATTCTCTGCCCCTTCTTTTTTTCTTTTGTCCCCCCCCCCATCTCAAATCCATTGGCAAAGTTCAACTGAATTTGACAGGAAGGAACAAGTCTTAAAGAGATTAAAGTACCTAAAAGATTTGTGAAAAATAGAAGGTGAGGTAGCAGTGACTTGCACAAAATAATGCTCATCCTGTGGGGGCAAAAAGCAAGCAAATCATAAACATTATACGCTCTGTTGGTAGCAGCTGGATGGTTACACAGCATCATCCATACTGGTAACAATTTAGTACTGTCTTGCTCTTAACTACTTTTAGCACATGCTATTTCTCATCTTCTCTGAGTCTCAGGGAAAAAAAGCTTTGAGGTAATGCACAAAAGAACGGAAGAGAGGAGATGAAATGGGATAACGAACACAGATCCTTACAAAACTGGTCTTCATCTGCTCTTAAGCTCATGAAATTCTTGTGTTGTAACAGGTCTGTGGAGTCTTATAAACCATCAGAGGTTAAAGGACATGTACTGGTATATAAGAACATACTTTAAGTCAAATCAAGCACAACCTATGCCTGAACTATCTGACTTTTAATGGATTTAAGATTTGGTTCTTTCAAGCCAGACTCTAAGAAGGTCTAAGGGAGGAAAATTTACCATAGCTTAGGACAGACAAAAAATTGAGAGTTAAAACAATGAAGAAGCATAAAGCAGTAAGTCATACGTACTGTGAGCACAGCAGCAATTTTCTTGGCCACTGCTGGACTGATTTGAAAAGCATGAGCAAATCGCCATCCTTGAAGATCAAAGATAGCCTTGACTCCATTCCGCTGAGTCTCAAGCTCCTTTACAATGAGTTCAGATGTGATAAGACTTACACGAAACACATCGTATGCCGTAAATAACTTGGGATCCCATTGTCCTGAAGAGTAAATAGATTGCACTGCATTACTATGAGAATACCACGCACACCTGTACTCTTGCTTGTTACTGCTTCTAATGTGCTTCTCAGGAAAAAGAAGTAACCAGCAATATCAAAGGTCCTGAAATAAACAGATTTGCCAATACAAAAGTTATTTTGTGTGCCTGCTCTGCCACTCATCTTTTGAACTCTTTTTGTACATGGTACCACCTAATGGTAGACAGCTGTAGATGCCACCTAGTGTAATACATTCCACCTATGGCCATAGCCTCCAGTACAAGGTTTTGACAGGAACAGCTTAATTCAGTAACAGTCACATTAGCAGAAACTACAGATCAGCAATCTAATCAATTAATATATTTTTTCTTCTGTGCAGTAATTCTTTCAAGATTCAGTGAATCTCACTCGTTTTTCTGAAGCCTGACCAAAGAATTAAATGGGATGAGCCTTAACCCTAGAAGAATGCATCAGAGAACACAACTTTGCAGAGATGCATTATTTTCTACTAGACCAGCTGATATTAAAACAATTCTTTAAAAGCTGGCAAAAATAATTTCTCTGTCCAAAACAAGCACAAAGAAATATAGCAACACGCGATCATTTAACTACATCTTTTTTTAAAAGACTTTTGGGAGTGCATGAAACAAACCAAGGATCATCAGAGTGTTGTTAGACAGGACTCCCTGGCTACATCTGAACAGTGAAAACCCAGTGAAATTCTCATCCACATCTAAACTGAACGTTAGTACATGACTAGATGCATGCCTTTTTTTCTGTTCTCTCCCTCCTCTCTGTGCTGCATGTGCACCAGTATCATAGTCTTAGTACAAGGCTTTGAAAATTTGCACAGAAACAAATAATTGCTGGGACACTCAGGCCCAAATAACCACATATTCTTGCAAGTTTGAGGGTTTTAACCTTAAGACTTTTTCTGATGCAGACAAGAATTCCATTATAAACAAAATAAGTTCTTTGTAAAGGATTGTACAGCTTTAGCCGTACCAGTCAAATTATGTAACAGTTACAGCTCAATAAACTCAGCTTTATATTAATGTAAAGGTATTTCTAACAGTGAACATAAATATGTGAACTTTCTAATTAAGACATTCTGATATTATCAAATTTTATCAACCCCAGTGTTGTACCCATAAAATACTTTTATTTTGCTGCTCAAATTGTGATAATTAAAAGAAACCAAAACCAACAAAACATCAACAAAAACACAACACAACAAACGCACAAAACAAACCAAAACCATCAGCACCAGAGCCAGGTGTGAAACAGGTCCAAGTAATTTTGTCACTCACCAATTCTGTATATTAGAACTTTGCTTCCATGTGGGTCTCTTGATCTCAGGACTCCATGATAGCCAGCTCGCAAAAGACCAAGAACAGAAGACGGCTGTAAATCTGCACTTATTTCTGGGCATTCAATTCTCCACTTCTGATAATTCTTCAATAACTGGAAAAAAACAAATGTGGATGACAGATAGCCATCAGATATTACATGAAGAGCACAGTTAAAAATATGTTTTCAATATGTGGTCAGAGTTTTAATTCACTAAATTAGCAATCAGTTCATTGTGTATTTTAATCAAATCCCTCCCAGTAGTAGAAGGTTGCTATAACTGGATCAAACAAGTGCGTAAGTTATGATGAAATCAGAATCTTGTCAACTTGTTAATGGACTGCAGTTGTCATTTTGTGTCGAAAAAAAAAAAACCTGGAATATGGAGAAAAAGCCGGCAGGTTCTACATACAATACCTCTAAACCCCAGTTTTCTTACACAGGTTACATTTAGGATTATTCTGTTTGATACTGCATCACATTCATTCAGGGTTTGTTGAACTTAGATGTACAAAATCTTAGAGGAACATATCCCCTTCACCACCCCACTCCACGCCTGCAAAGTATGAGCCCATTTTGTACACAGAGTCATTAATAATTCAGTTTAGCATTTGAAACAGATTTGATCATCAGCATATCTAAAGCATATTTTCAAAGTCTCTCCTACCCCTCTGAAATGGCAGAATATAACAATGCAGTGGATCCATTACACATTAGACAATTTCCCTCCCCCAGAGTGGAAATAATGAGAACCTGTTTTGCTAAAACAGAGATACTGTCCATCACCGGGGACATGATCACCCTGGTTCCTAAAGCTGGAAGTCAGCATCATAAACTAGTATGCCTAAGGCACAGGAAGGGATGTGTCTTGAAAGGTGGTGGCCTGACTCTGAGGAAGAGTCAATTAAAGGCGTTCCTTTCTGAGCTAACATCTATGTAGAGGAATTACAGGTGATACTGTGAAAGGTCATCTTAGACATGGATCATGAAAAATTAAGTCGGCGATGCAGTAGTTCTAATTTCCAAGTCTAATTACTGTTTCTCATTTATTATTAATTAAGTGGTGTTAGAGAAAATGAACTGCTATGCCCTGCAACTAAAATCTATTTAAGCCATTTTGCATAGTTAAGTGGGAAGCTATGCAAGACTATCTTCTAAAAAGCTTCCTCTCAATTCATCAACTAAATTCTGACTCTGTATCACCCATGCCAAGTTTTCTAGCACTGAGTTTGGAGAGTATACCTATGGCTAAATAGCTATCTAGATTTTCTATTAAAATTTCCTAAATAGCTACAGTTCAGATTTCTAACCCAAGACCTCCAAAGAAGCTGAGAGAATCAGAATTTTTGAGCACCTAATTTCACAACAAACTGAAATTTAGGTTTAAATCTTAAATGTAGAATGCACAGCCTAGCCTTTTAAATTGCTACTATATTTCATCAAACGGTAAAACACAATATGATCCTCAGCGTAGTTTCACAAATTAAACGTGTTCACCACAATGAAAGCATCAACCATCAGTCTTTTATTCCTGTTAATTTAAATTAACAGAAATTAAGTTTTTTTCATTTCTCAATCAATCCATTTTCAGAACAGAAACAGAGTTAATAGAACCGTCAGTTCCAACTAATAAAACATAACCTTAAGTAAATGACAAATTTCTTGTATTTATGCAAGTATCATTTTCTTCACCATTTCCATTGAAAGAACAGTCGGAATGAATCCCAGTGGATACTGAATTCATCCCTTGGAACATCACAGACTCTCAGAGGGAGACCTGAGACTCGCCACCCTATACCTCATAGCATGCTTATGTTAGATAATTAGTCTTATTTCTTATCCTTCCCTCTACTTTCAAGTTTCTTCTATCGTTTTACATAAAACATACTTTTTCTGCAGATTACTGCTTTTCTGCTCAGATGAAGGTCTTGAATTATTCTGATGGTCTTTCAAAAGAATTTTCAGGAGGAAACTATTTATAAGGCATTATTGTTTGTCAGCAGAATTTACTTACAAATATATGATATACTGATCACAGAATTATCTATATCCTTCATGGAAACAGCACCTATAAATATGTATTTATAGGTACAAAAATGAAGAAGTTCATCTGGCATGCTAAAATCCCATTTGATTTGGCAATGAGAAAGCTGATAAAAACTTCATCCTAAATCATACACTGTAGAAAGAAACATTTAACCATCAGGAGACTTTCACTTGAAGCCTTTTGATTGCATTAAATCAGTTCTAGTTTAGGCTAACTTAAAAACAAACAAACCAGGTTGGGGAGGGGAAGGGAGTAGGGGAAGTAAGGTTATTTGTGGAATAGAAATTCACTATGATTGCAAAGATATGCCTGACGAGGTACTCTGATTATCTCATCCTGTTAGTGCTTGACTCTCTACAAAGGGCACCGTTTGAGCAATCACAACCGCTTTGTGCCAGCCAGACAGCACTGTCAACATATCATGTTATTTTCCTTGGTCTTTCCAATACAGACACTAAAACAAATACAAAAAAAACCAAAATACAAAAACACCCTCAAAACAACTATGCAAACATCTGTAGCTTTGTCATTTCTACCTTTTCTTCTAAAATCCACTACTTCATGAACCTAATTAACAATTATATAAATATTTTAAACATCTCTTTGAAGAGCTGCCTGCCTAAACCAAGATGAGGAAAAAAAAAAAGATACATTCATTATATAACCTAAATAATCCCACCTTGTCAGTACAGTTAGTTTCTCATTTTCATGAGTATTTTCCCATGATATAGGCAAGTGGACCATCTTTCAGATGCATAACATGGCTGAGTTCCAAACATACTTCCCTGGGCCAGAAAGCCAAGAAGTACTGACGAGTGTTCAGATTTTGAAAACCTAATTAATTACCTGAAACAATTTGGAGCTGAAGTAAAAGTTAGCGTTAGGTAATCTTCCATAGCATCTACAGCTAGTTTTGGGACATATGTGGCGAATTTTTACTCATGTAAACAATCCTTTTCTTAGCAGTTAGACATACTGAAGTCACACACAGTTACTGATATGAGTAATCCTTAAACATAATGGAATTCAAAAACTAGCAGCGAATACTTAGTTTTAGTTTATTTTGAAAATTTCTAGTTTAACGTTATTTAAACAGAAATTCAGTAACATTTTTTAAAAATGGGGGGGTTTTTTTATTAAACACAAAAAGGAAAAACATAAATATTATATATAACAATCAATCTGGATATAGAAGATGAAGCAACCTAATATCAGGAAAAACAGGAGCATTCATTACCTAGTGTAAAAAATGTCTCATGTACTTACAACACACAGAAAACATCTCAATGTATAATTATATGTGTTTACAAACTGAATAACCTACTTAGCATCTGCTCAGCATCTGAAAATAGATGCAAGATAACACGATAAATGGGGAAAGCTGGATGAAAAAAATCCAGTGTCTGGAGTTAAGCATTAATCAAGAGGGTTTGTCCTGAGGTCTGTTGGGGATAGTTCTAGATTTCTGAACACCAAAGATTATAAAGTTACTGATTAATCCGAGATTCATGGGCTGCAAAATAATGTGAACTCAGTAATTTATTTAGAATTAAAAGAACTAGAAAACAATGTGCTTGTTACCGAAACCAATGTATCTGTATATGCAAATTAATTATTCTGTTCTTGATTAATAACTGTTTATTCACATTAACAAGATTACCAGACAGAATCAGGCCACTACTGTGTAAGCAGCTGCACACAATATTTAGGGAAAAAAATGTTTTCTATTGGCAATCTTCGGAGAAACCAACAGCTCAAACTTTAGAATATAAAGAGATAAATAAGCACACATAAACACACACCTTTGTGCATATATATTTTATATTTTTTTTTTAATACATGTGTATAAAGCTACACATAGAATTTAAACATGCCATTCAGAGACAAATAATTTAAAGTATTTTTATAGAGACATAGATCTTTCCCAATTCCACTCACATCGCCCTTTGACAGTTGGGAGAAGACTGGCATATGCGTAAATTGAGACATATGGCTTCGCACAAAGGAAAGAATGGATGACCGACTTGTGTTTCCTCAACAGTCAGGCCAGAAAGCCTAATAGGGGCTCTTCCATTTTGTTTGAGGAATCCCTCTCTATTGATCAAAGAAAAGCAGCCAAGTAACTGATTAAAACTTAGTATATATATTTGAATGATGTGAAGATCCTCAGAGAGAATGCCTGAGACTCAGCAGTCTCAGCATGTCTGACACTATGGAAAACAATCCTTCTTGTACATCATAGTTATTCTAAGCAACTTATTTGCAGTACTACACACTAGCAAGCCTTGATTCCTCCATAAGTCAAATGCAGGGCAAAGAAAGTCTGGCTATATACCTTTGTATCAATCAAAACTCGTAAGAGGTTCCTAGATACTTAGACAGTTTGGGGTGCCATAAAAACGATGCTTACAAAAGGCTAAGTGGTATGTCATGAAAACATCCCTTGGCATACACTTTCACTGTTGTATTTTCACTGAATTTAAAGATTTTCATTCTTCTCCCCAGAGTACAATCTGTTTCAAGTACGAAAAGACAGCATCCCCAAGTCACTGAGAACTAGCCTTATACAGGAGTTGTGGGATGTAATACAAGGACATAACAAAATGCACTAGGCAAAAAGATTTATGGAAGAAAGGAGATGTTATTTCTCCAGATTTCACATATCACTACTGGATCCAAGTAACAATGGTTTTGATCATGACAATGAAGTCAAATATACACACATAGCCGGTACATTTAAAGAGGGATATATAAACCCTTTAGCATGACTAATGAAGACTCATGGCCCTGCTTCTCAGTTTACAGCATATATAGTAGGCAGGTGTATCTGTACAAATTAATGAGCAAACAACATGCTCAGCTCAGGTATGAATCTATACCCTATATCTTTTGCAACATTACCATCTGATCCCTACCTGTATCTCCCACAGGGATTACAAAGGCACAGAACATGCTGTAATGATGTAACACTGTTCTTTCTGAGTGTTGATTTTTGGCAGGTAAGTATTGCCTTGAAATCTCACAGGACAAGAACAATTCTTATTTACCTATTGAAGTTTTGCTGTGATGTTTGACAGTTATTGTTAGTCTATGTCAAAGGACTTTTTGTGCATTCCCAGAGACAAATGTTTGCCAGTATTTCACGTAGACTGACTTAACACTTTCTTACCAATAACATTCATGCATTTGAAATCCTTTCATCAAAGCTATGTGCTTAACTTCACCTCTTCTTCTGAAGCCTGTACTCAAGCGGTTCA